TGCCCTAAAAAGCAAAATTGGCCAAATGGAAAAGGAAGTCCAAAAGCTTACTGAAGAAAATACTTCCTTAAAAATTAGAATAGAGCAATTGGAAGATAGTGACTTTATGAGAAATCAAGACACAGTAGAACAAATCCAAAAGAATGAAAAATTAGAAGACAAAGTGAAATATCTCATTGGAAAAACAACTGACCTGGAAAATAGATCCAGGAGAGAGAATTTAAAAATTATTGGACTATCTGAAAGCCATGATCAAAAAAAGAGCCTAGACATCATCTTTCAAGAAATTATCAAGGAAAACTGCCCTGATATTTTAGAACCAGAGGGCAAAATAGAAATTGAAAGAATCCACATATCTCCTCCTGAAAGAGATCCGCAAAGGAAAACTCCTAGGAATGTTATAGCCAAATTCCAGAGTTCCCAGGTCAAGGAGAAAATATTGCAAGCAGCCAGAAAGAAACAATTCAAGTATGGTGGAAACACAATCAGGATAACACAAGATTTAGCAGCTTCTACATTAAGGGACCGCAGGGCATGGAATATAATATTCTGGAGGGCAAAGGAGATAGGATTACAACCAAGAATCACCTACCCAGCAAAACTGAGTATAATCCTTCAGGGGAAAAAATGGTCATTCAGTGAAATAGAGGACTTTCAAGCATTCTTGATGAAAAGACCAGAGCTGAATAGAAAATTTGACTTTCAAATACAAGACTCAAGTGGAACATGAAGAGGTAAACAGGAAAGAGAAATCATAAGAGACTTATTAAGATTGAACTGTTTACATTCCTGCATGGAAAGATGATATTTATAACTCATGAGACCTTTGTCAGTATTAGGGTAGTGGGAGGGGAAAAATTATATGTGTGCATAGATAGATAGATAGATAGATAAATAGATAGATAGATAGATAGATAGATAGATGGCACAGGATGAGTTGAAGATGAAGGGGTGATATCTAGAGAATAAAATTAAGGGGTGAGAGAGGATTATACTAGGAGAAGGAGAAAGGGAGAGGTAGAATGGGGTACATTATTTCGCACAATACAGACAAGAAAAGGTTCTTACAGTGGAGGGGAAAGAGGGGAAGGTGAGAGGAAATGAGGGAATCTTATTCTCAGAGGATTTGGCTTAAGGAGAGAATAACATACACATTCAATTGGATATGGAAATCTGTCTTACTCTACAGGAAAATAGGGGGAGAAGGGGACAAGAGAGCAGGGGGATGATAGAGAGAAGGGCAGATTGGGAAAGGGGTAATCAGAAGGAAGTACTTCTGAGGAGGGACAGGGCCAAAAGAAAGAATAGAATAAATGGGGGGGGCAGGATAGGATTAAGGGAAATAGAGTTAGTTTTTCACAACGTGTCTACTATGGAAGTGTTTTGCACAAGTATGGCCTGTATTGACCTGCTTGCCTTTTCAAAGAGGGTGGGTGGGGTGGGAGGAAGGGAGAAAATTTGGAACCCAAAGTTTTAAAAACACATGTTTAAAAAAAATGTTTCCACATGCAACGAGAAATAAGAAATACGGGAAATGAGGTACAGAAATCTATCCTGCACTGCAGAAAAATAGAAGGGGAAGGGTATAAGAGAAGGGGGTAGAGAGATAGAAGGGAGGGCAGACTAGGGGAAAGGGTATTCAGAATGCATGCCATCTTGGGGTGGTGGTGCAAGATAGGGTGAAAATTTGGAATTCAAAATCTTGTGGAAGTAAATGTTGAAAACTAAAAATAAATAAATTTATATTAAAAAAAACCAAGAAAGTTTAGGTATCATCAAGCCTGAGATTAGATAATTGTATTTTATCCAAGTTTCTAATTATCTGACCCTGGTATGTTATTTCTGAATTTTTGTATAATCTTTTGTTTCATAAAGAAGCCCTAGAAAATGCACTTTTATGATGTAGAATGTGTGGTAGAATGTGGTTAGTGTTTTGAGAATTTCAAGACCCTTGCAACTACTGCCCAAATAAATCAACACAGGATACAGACTGGTAAATTGCTGTTTATTCACTCATGAGTGTGACACACACTGTCAATAGGTGATGGCTATGTGCCTCATAATTCTGTAGGTGACTTCTATGTATTGTGTGTATATATATATACATATGTATATATATACATATAGATATGTATACATACATAGGTATGCGGATATCTATATTGAAAGAGAAATTGTATATATATAAATGTGTATGTGTGTATATATGTATGTATATATACAAAATTTGTGTATATGTATGTGTGTGCACACACACATATCCTACTGAAGTGTGTGACCCAGAGAGTGTGACACTCAGGGAGCAGAATAGAAGAAGCAAAATTTACAAAGCAGTTTTGAGTAAGATCCAGTAGGGCTATAGATAGAATTGTGTTTGTTCTCTTTTCTTGAAGAGGACCACGACATCAGGGAGATAATGACATGACTTGCAATTGACTTTGATTTTGAGTGAGTGAGGGCTGTGCAAAGTACAGCTTCACTTTCTCCTCCAGAGCCATCTAGGTCCAGTGGCCAGACATTCATCAGGATGACTGGAGATGGCCCAGGATGCAATGGGAGACCCTGGCCCTTTTAAGCTAAAGTGATTTCAGGTTCTCACTTTGAGTGAAGTAACACCCATGAAGCCAATAAGTCTCTTTAAGAAATGAGTCAAGGGATGGCCACTTTAACAAAAAAAAGAAATCAAACTGGGAGGGGAAGACCCTCAGGATTGCTGGCCAAAAGAGAAACAGTTACTATTTGTGTGAAGAGGACCGTGACATCAGGGAGGTGATGACATGACTTGGAATTGACTTTGATTTTGAGTGAGGGAGGGCTGTGCAAGGTCACCAGCCTCACTTTCTCCTCCACAGACATCTGGATCCACTGGCCAGATATTCAAAATGTGTCCTTTAGCATAACCATTTACAGCAGACCAAAGAAAACAGTGTCTTCTTTATCAGTCAGCTGGTTAATTAACAATTGTTAAGTTCCTATAAGCTTTATTGGATAGGCCTAAAGTGATTAGAGGGATATTGGATAGGTGATTGGGGGGAAAAGGTGCTAGAGGAGATAATGTCAAAGAAGTATCAGAAAGGGAAAGATAAAGAATAGCAGCAAATATTGAACAAAATGGAGTCAGTTATGTTCTCCCCAAAATCCACTTCAACAGAAGCAAGGAAATAGGAAGTTGATGCTAGAGTCAGGCATGCAGTTACAGCAATGCTACTGTATCACCAGGAAAAGGGCACAATTAGTCATTGGGTAGGACAGTTACCTGAAGCCAGGGAGACAAGCAATCTCAAGGACCAATATCAGGTAGTTCATTGGCTCATTGGAGTTAAAGTATCAGTAAAGGTTTAGACAACAGTGTGGATTCTAGGTTTTACCATTTTGCTGTATCTCTAGAGTTTTATAGTACTGTAAAGGGCTGTGGGTGGGCTAGATATTGCAACCCTGCAGGACCATACATGAGAAATCACCTTTTCCATGGGAAATCTTATTATACCTGGGCAGAACAAAGGCAAGCACCTGTTCAACTCGTGTAACTCTTATTCTGTTAATTTATTACTTGTTCCGAGAATGGTCCAGCCTCACCCACCTCTGTACTACCCTCATTTGTCTCTGCTGGCATGCCTCTGCTTAAATTTTTCCCCCTAGTAGTTGCAAGAATAAAAAATGCCTTGGCTAACCGGAAAAAAAAAGGAGCAATCCATTAATTCTTCAACAATGGTGAAAGAAAGGCCTTCGCCTGGGACCAAGAGCAGGGTCTTCTCGTTAGGTCAAAAGGAGCTGGAATTATGGGTTTATAGATTTAGAGGCAGAAGGGCTCTTAGAGACCATCAACTTGCAACCTTGCTGTTTTCAAAGATAAAGGTCCAGAAAGTTTTAGTGACCAAGGTTACAGATGTAAGAGAACCAGGTTATGAACCCAGGTCTTCTTATTCCAAATCCAATGCTCTTCACGTACTGCTTTATTGATAATCCTTATTAAGTACCGAAGACCCTGTAAAGATCCCTTCCCTCCTATGTGGGCTACCATCCTTGGGCCACTTTTCCAGTCAAATATAAAGCCTTGTTTCTACTCCTCATGAAGCTGTTTGGGAAGACAACAGATTCATCCAAGTGGAGGGGGGAAGAGAACAAGATAGCTTATATTAAAGTGTAGCACAGACTACTTGAGAATGACTATATAAAACTGTGCTTCTTCATCAGATAAAGTCTAGCTAGACTTCAAGAGATGACTGAGATGAATTTAGTGGCCACTTTCTCCCTTCTACCCAATTTTCCCTTTCAAATTGTAACTCATACTTACTGGTTAAAAGGAGACTTAAAAACAAAGGTTAAGTCTTTAAAATCTTCCCTCCTCTCCCAGACCGTGCATCTCTGTGGCCATAGGGAATGATAGCGGGTTGCTGAACAGTCCCAGTCTTTTTGTGTCTTCAGGAATTTTGTGGGATGGTATAGGTCCTGTTACCCTTTAACTTCCTGTTTGTTTTCCTGACCCAGAGGTTCCCTAAAGTCTAAACCATCCTCCTCCTAAAATCAGTATTAACCCTTTTCTCTCAGTAAAGGAGTTGCTGGGGTGCCGGAAGGTAAAGGGGGCAGGGTTGGCTGGAAGTGGAAGTGGCGAATTCTCCCAGATTTCAGAGGAATGGGTCTTGCAAACACTCACACCTCTATACCTTGAACCTCACCACTGCTCCGTCCTCTTTTATTAAAGTCGTTTGGAAGGAAATTAGCTTTTGACCCCTGAACTCTGGACCTTGGCCCAAAGCTTAAAACTTCATTTGGTGGTAGCCAGGGACCCTCCCTTCCCCTCTTAAAGTCTTCCCTCTCCACCTCCTTCTTCCTTTCCCCTCCTCCACTTGCTCCACAGACTCCTGCAACGCTGGGGAGAGGAGAAAAGTTTATTCTGTTCTCCAGGAGCCTGAAGAGCGAAGGCTGGGGACCTGGAGTGGTAGAGGGTGGGCGGCGGAGGGGAGGGCGTAGGGGCGGGGTTGAGTTTGGAGCGGGTCCCACCCCCAGCCCCAGCCCCAGGGCAGAAAGAAAGTGCTGCTTGAGCAGGGGGAGCTTAGCTAGTTCGGGTCTGGGGCCCTGGGAGGGCGGGATCCGGCGCCGTGGCTGGTGGGTCGAGTAGGAACTGGGTTGCTGGGGCCTTGGGAGAGCTCTGAGGGGGCAAAGGCAGAATCAGGGACTGAGACTAGAGCCCTGGGAGGGCGGGATCCGAAACCACGGTTGGTGGGTCCCTAAGGAAAGGGGGTTGCTGGGGTCTCCTGAGAGGGCTGAGCAGGGACAGAGACTGGTACCGGAACCCTGGGCAGGAGGGATCTTTATTCACAATTGGTGGGTCCTAGAGGAAGCGGGGCTTGTAGGGTCCCAGGAAGAGCACTATTCGGGGCTGGGGCCGGGCAGCGACTGGGACAGGAGCAGGGGCTTTGGCGAGGTGGCTCGGTTAGAGAGTTGAGTTGAGGGGTTTGGGGAGTTGCGCACGGCAGAAGGGGCAACGTGTCACCTTCCCCCCCCCCCCGCCTCCGACCCCCGGGACGGATTGTCTGTCTCTCCTAGGGTCGGCCGCGCAGCCATGCGGGGCCGGGAGCCCCCGGGACGCTTCACTGTGCCGGCGGAGGCGGAGGACTCGGTGCTGGAGCTTCGGCCCCATGTGGAGCGCATCTTTAGGGTGCAGCTGAGTGTCCTCGGGGAGCCGGAACCCGGGGCCCCCAGCATTTGGTTGCAGCTGGAGGGCCCCCAGGAGAACGTGGGCAGAGCCAAGGTAAACGCTGCGCCCCTCCTCTCAGCCTTTCTATTCCCCTCTCTCGCTTAATATCCCCTTCCCAGCCCAGATCCCCTCTTTGTGCGCGAGGGATGATCTCAAACTCCTGAGTTAGCGGGAGACTCCAAGGAATTGTCCAGTTCATTCTCCTAATCTGGTTTGGATGGCGCCTGCTCTAAGTCCGGCAGAGGCCCTCCAGCCAGTGTATCTTTCCTAGTTCTCTCGAAGATCGACCCCTCAGCCTCCCTCTTTCCTGCCCCACCCTCCTCACTTGCGTGTGCCCTCACACGTCCATCCCCTCCCCTTCTGTAATGTGAGAACTCGGCAGGCTATATAACGTTGTGTGTGTATGACTTGGGGGTAGGCCTGTCCTGTGAGCCAGAATTTGGGGGTATCTGGCCCCCAGGGCACCCTAAACCTTGTTCTTATGGCACCATCCTGTGAGCTAAGAGCCATACTTTTCTATGATCTGTGCCCCTTAGCCTCTGCCTTCAAAGCTAAGCTGGAAATCTGTTTCCATGTGACTCAATTGAATCCTGTTTTTCTAAGTTTTAAAACTTGGAATCAGAATTTTAACTGGAAGGGACTGTAGAAATTATTCAACTCAATCCCTTGGTTTTGTGTAACATGAGAACATGACAATCAGCAGCACCTTAGGTCAAGGGATAAGGAGAAAACCGAGGTCCAGAGGACTTGTGTTTTTTGTCCAAGAAATACAGTAGGTAGCACAGTTAGAGGTAGAACCCAGGTTTCCTGATTCCCAATCTGTTTTTAAACCTTAGCGCACTGCATTGCTATTCCTGTCCCTTGGGGGCTAAAGGAATAAGAATATATGGGGGGGAGGGGGGAAGGAAAGGAGTTCTGGAAGGCTCCTGTGGAGTTGTGGGGTGGGCGGGGATTGGGGAGGAAACTGTAGGCTGCCAGGATGAAAGAGCCTGCTGTCTGTGGCTGGAAGTTTGACAGACCAGGTCACAGTGAGCCTCTTTTTTGGTTCTGGCTGGCTTTCTCCACAAGTCTCCCCTTGGACTGAGCTTGCAGGCTCTGCCCATTCCTCTTGGTCCCCACCCTATAACCACCCCCTCCTCAGACATTACTGAAGCTTCTCTCTTTTCCTAAGGTTGCTGTCTCCTTCCTATTATCTTATCTTCTGGGTTAGAAATGCTACTCAGTTTTTCTCTGTTGTTCCTCTTTCTTCCTCTCTTCCTGAACTGTTTCTCCCCCGCCCCCCTTTCCCAGCTGTGTCTCTACCAAACTGTCCAAATGGGCCTTAGGCCATGGGGTGGAGGAGGCCTAGCTACACAGCAGCTGGCTTTGGATTTTCAACTAGGCTTGTTTAACCGCCTCAGTTTTCTAAGTTTTCTAGGCATTCAGGGATGACTATATTCAATGTAAGGGGAGATGGCAGTGTCCTATTAGCTGAGAGGACTGAGGTGGTTATACAGGATTTCTCTAATGATAAATTCTGTTGGGGGGTATTTTAAGGAGTGGGCACTTTGAGCTTTCTTACTTTCATGAATGTGAAATGAACCGATGACCTTTTCTGGGAGTGCCTCCCCTGACCTCAAGTAAAGTTAACTAGTACAAAGAAATGTTATGGCAGTTTACAGATGAAGAAACGTGCTCAAGCTTATTTAATTAGTAGTTTTAAAGACACAATGTTTTATTGATGTTCTTTTTAAAAGTTACATTGTTGTCACTTCTTTTTCTTCTTGTCACTTTTTCTTCTCCTAGGACCATATTTTGCAATAAATAAGTACAGTTAAGCAAAACATTGGTGAAGTCTGAAAATGTATGCTTTATTCTATACCTGTATTCTAGCCTTTTTCTGCTGAGAAGTGGGAGGCCTTCTCCCTGTCCTCAGAGGTAATGATTACTTACTGTATTGATCAGAGTTCTGTAGTTTTTGAGTACTTCAGTACAGTCTTGAATGTTATCATATGTCATTGTGCAAATTGTTGGCCTGGTTCTGCTCACTTGGTTCTATATTGGTTCATAGGTATCGTCTCAAGTCTTCCTGAATTCTTTATATTTATAGGTTCTCAGGATGAAATAACGTTTCATCACATTATATACTGCAAAGTGTTGTAAGCTAGTAGTTATCAGAGCTGATACTTGAATGGGAAGATTGGGTCTGTGAGTGGCCACTATACCTCCAGCCTGGGTAGCATATAAGGACTTTAGTCTCCATACATTTTAAAAAAAGATTTATAAGGTACTTCCTGAATACTACTGAGCCCTTCCCTCCCCTCCCCTCCCCTTCCCCACCCTGAGATCTTTCTAAATAAAGTTGCATTCATTGCTTTTGTTTCTGTAGGACAGTGCCTCTCTCCTGCAGGCCATGTCTAATGTAACATCCCATCTACCTCCCCTTCCCATTCTTCTTGCAAGTTCCTTGGAGCCAGTATCACCACTTCCCCAGGGCTTCTTATTCTTTCAATTCTGCCCTTCTCACAATTGGCAAGTGTTTATGGAGCACCTACTATGTTCTAGGGACTCAAATTCTAGGGATACAAAAAGAGTGAAACAAAAAAAATTAATAAAAACAAACAAAAAAAGAGTGAAGCACACATATGTACACAGATTTCCATGTTTGTGAATAATATCCATGACCCATTGAGAAACCTAGGATTATAAGAGGTTTAAAGTAGAGACATGGGAAAGACAAGGGATTTTGACAATATCGTCTATTCTCTCTTATTGAACAGAGCAGGTAGAGAGAATTTATTCCAGGTGCCATGTTGGGGATGAGGATGTAGGCCAGAGTTGGAAATAGCACTGACCTAGAAGTCACCAGGCCTAGGTCTTGGACTCAGCTTGGGAGTGGTGGCAGAGCACTGCTACCACTGCTGCTGCTACTCCTCCTCCTCCCTCCCTTACTTACTATTTACTACTACTGTGTAGGATATATAGGTTTAGAAAACATTTTCCATATATTATCCCATTTGGTGCTCAACCTTGTGACATACATGCTATTATTATTTCCATTATATAGATAAGGAAATTGAGACTGGAAGAAGTTAAATAAATTGACCAGGGTCACACAAAAAGTAAATATCTAAGACTGGGTTTGAACTCAGGTTTTCATTATTCAAAGTCCCAAGATCTAACTGTTGTTATCACGTAACTGCTTGTGACCTTAGGCAAGTCAAATACCTCTTTGCACCTCCAGTTTTTCATTTGTAAAATGAAGAGGTTGGGCTAGAGAGATAACATAACATTCAATGCCTCTAGAGTGAATAAATTTCCCAGGTATAATGATGGTGATGCTATTGATCCTATTTAAAAATTAATTTTTAATTTAAAATTAATTTAAAAATTAAACATTTTAAAGTCTTTTAATAGAGAGTGGCAGAATTGAACATTCTTTGTTTGTAACATGATTGTGTGTGTGTGTGTGTGTGTGTGTGTGTGTAGCTACAGCTATATAGCTATAGCTATATATACACACACAGGGTTCCTAGGGAAGGGGAGGGTTGAGTCAGTCAGAGAGGTCAGTGAGAATAAAGTGAATGGGGGAGAAAAAGACTAGGAATAGGAAGCTTTGGGGTATATTTCAGTCCGAGAAGGTGAGTTCTAGTGGCTTTCAAGTTCAGAGGACCATGAAAGGTCAGATGAGTTACAGGGTCATGTATTCTTGTTAGATTTTCTGGTTTTTACAAGAAAATCTCTTTCTAGATGATCTACTCTGGGGGTGAATCTCCAGATTGTTTTGCTGTACTAGGATTCTTAAAAGAATGAATACATTACTGAGAATATTATTACTGGGCAGCAGGGAAAAAACCCTAGGATGGCCTGGCTTCTCTATAGTGAATTAGTGAACAAAAAGAATTCATTATTTTTTCCCCTTCAGGGGAAAGCTTGGGAAACAGATTATTTCCCCATCCTTTTCCTCTCCCAAGTCCCTGGATCTTTTTGTTTTGTTTTGTTTTTGTTACTTTTGCTTTGCTTATTTTAGTGGGTGGCTTGTAAGCAGAAGCTGGTTTTCTGGAGGGGATGATTGTGAGGAAGGTATTTTGTAAACTTTAGAGACCTTTAGCAATATGAGTTATTCGTTCTTATACTTCTAGTAGGTTGTAACCTCTTTTGGGGATAGAGATTGTGGGGTTTTTTCTTTTAAAAATGTTAAAATTAACATCGTATTCCTTTGTCACAGAGCTTTCTCTTGTAACAGAGATTTCAAAATAAAGAAGGAAAGCAGGCAACTCAGCAAAACTCATCAATATGTCAACTGAGTCTTGAAATATATGCAGTATTCTGCATCCATAGGCTTCCACCTTTGTCAAGAAGAGAGGGAGTTTTTCATCTGGTCTTTGGGACTTCATTAAATTGTAGTTTTCACATTGTTCATTTTCAGTTTTTAAATTTCCATTTACATTGTTGCAATGATAGTCTTTTCCCTCCCTGGTTCTGCTTACTTCACTTTGTAACAGTTCCTGTAAGTCTTTTCTACTTTCATCACAATCCCCGCCCCCTTTTTTTAAACAGCGTAGTAAAATTCTGTTATATTCACATACCACAGTTTATTTAGACATGCCCCATTGGTGGCCATCTACTTTGTTTCCAGTTCTTTGCTACTGTAAAGAAGTGCTTTTGAAAATATTTTCATGGATGGCTGTGTTGTTTTTAATCTTTTTGTTCCAGCCTGTTGTGCTGTGATTTGAACATTTTACGTACTTAATAGTTACTTGAATTGAATTGGATTAAGATATTTAAAGTAGAGAGAGAGAGAGACCATGAAGAGATACAGCTCAACTTTATAGTTACCTTTCCAGACAAAAGGGAATCATGGGAATAGCAGAATATTGGTGGAAGGGAACCAAAAGTGACTTTCAATACCTTCTTGGTCTGTGGGGGTGGGGGGGGTAGGTAATTGCCTCTTGACTAGTGCAGAGATAGCAGAAGGAAGCTGGGATTAGACTCTTCTGAGCATCAAGTGAAGGCATGTGGTGGCAGTGAATGACTTATGAACTCATCACTGAATTTAATAATTCAATTCAGCA